CTGACTTTTTAAATAGTATGTGCAGAGTGCCTCTCTCCAATTTTCATGGTCACACACTGGGCCAGAGTGTGGCAGATGAAATGACTTTTTGTTTAAAGCGCCATCCCAAGTAAATTGAGTGCCCCCTGCCCTGGCCAAAAGCATCTGGTCCATACTTGTACCTGCCAGCTAGGTATTGGTGCATGGTACTCTTGGACTTGAGTTTGAGCCTGACCTCATCCTGAGGGTTTGCCCAGTCAGAAGAGGCCTGCCCAATGCCTCACTACACTGCCTTTTTTGCACCCCTAGCCAGTATTAGCCTATCCTTGCTAAGCCACCAACTATGACTTAGTCTACTCAGCAATGGCTAGATGGGCGAAGGTTTTTCTCTTCACTTTCAGGTTCACAGGCCAGTGCAAATGCCCAGGGACAAAGGTGGTGAGGTTGGACAGAGGCAGCGATTCACACGGGCCTCACTCTCACTATAGCCTGTAGGCAGAGAAGAGAGAAATCTGAACACAGCATCTGCTGGCTTAGGCAGCTTAAGGACCAGAGAGAAAGATGCTGCCACTCACATTGGTGCTCTGGTGTTGAGTGTCAGTCCTGCTCACTGCTGAGGAGGCACTAGCCCCTGGGGCAAACAAGTAACACACTGTGGTCCTGGGATGGAGTCTGGGCATATGTGATTGGAGGTTTTTAGGTCTCTTTAGTGGTTCTTCAGTTTTCAATAAAGCCGTGCACACAGCCCAACTGGAAGCAGTTTTGCTTGGATGTTGTGCAGGACCTCTGTCTCCCTGGGCATCAAAGGCTACTACCAAAAGCTGAGGTAATTGTGGGGTACTCCAAGTAATTTGACTACTCCAAAGCCCCAGGTAATAATAGGGTGCAGACAACCTGGGGAAAGGGGAGAGGGCAGAGAGTCAGATCAAACATCCAAGGGGTAGATCTTTGCCCCTTAGCTCTCCAGGGCTGGGCCCCCACCCTAGGAGAGAAGCCTATTCAGTAGGCTTTAGAATTCAGAGTAGATCGAATGGGCTCTCTCTGACACTACAACCTACCTGGTATGATGACTGCATGGCCTCAGCCATTCCTACCTGAGTGCCCAACACAGTGCAATGTGTCTTGACCCAACAGATCCCTGAATTGAGAGGGAGGTCTGTGAGGTCAGCTCACAGGTGAACTTGAGCCTAAGTCCTGGGTGCAAAGAGTTATTCCTCCGTGGCCTTGCCCAGGCAGGCTCCTGTGGGGGTTCCTGCTTTTCTCTTTACCCCACCTACTATATGTGTGGATGTTTCCCTGATTTTTCTAACCAATTCCATGAAGGCCCTGTGGGAAGTGCCTCTTCCCCAGGACACTCCCTCAGGAGAGGGGAGAAGAGAGGGAGGAAGGGAGGGGACAGGAAGTAAAGGAAGAGGCAAGGAGGGGAGGAAGAAAGTAAGGAAAGAGCTAAAATAGGAGGAGATGCTGATGGCTGCCCAGCCATGGCTGCAGGCCTAGAATTACCCACCAGCCTCAGCTCCTGCCTAGAACCCATAAGTTCCACTGCTCATAGAAATGGGAGCTCTGGGATTGTGCAAAGTGTGCCCTTTGCTCTCCTACATGATGGGCCCAATGCTATTGCCCTGGTGGTCTTGTCCCTCTACTCACGTGGCTACAGCTGGCCTGTGGTGTTCTTGAGTACAGCTGTGAGGTAAATGTAGGTACAGGTCCCTGGGAGAGGTGGGTAGTAGAAACAGTCTTCTGTGGGAGCTCTGAAAAATCAGATCCTGTAGAGGTGAACTCTGCAGGAAAGACCCCAAAGCATTTCATCATATAAATCCCCTGTGAGGAGTTCATTCAAGAGCACTTGAGAGAGGCAGGACTGTAAGCATCCCAGACACTGAGTATCTGGACCAGTATTCAAATGTCTTTTTTATCCCCTGGAGGATAGAGGAGTCTTAAGAGGGTGGTGTTATCTGCACATACCTGCAAAGTGCATCAAGAGCCTGTTGCTGGATAGTCCTAGAAAGGCTTTTTGAGGCCACACCTGTGGGGACACTATCAGGATTGGGATCCTAGAGCAGGAAGAGTTAGAGGGAAAGAAGACCAGGCTGGTATTAGCTGTGCGGTCCCTGAACTGGACCTAGCTTTGCAGCAGAACCCAGCTGCTGCTCAGGCATATGACATGTCTGCAGAGAAGCCCTGGGAGCTACCACATTTCAGAATAGTGATGAGAAGCACCGTTTATCTTCACAGGTCCCATCTCCTGCCTCTCATTGGTCAAAGCTGAGTATTGATCTCCACCTGGGTATTGATCTCCACCCTCTGGAAGGTTCCTTGGCCCCTCCCACAACTACTGCATGCAGCCTGAAAATCAAGCAGTGCAGACATAGACTCTGGCAAATGGATCTGGACCACACATAAACCAATTCCAGTTTCCTGAAATCAGCACATGCCATTTATAAAATGAATTTTCTCAGAACATTTGACAAGGGAAGGCTGACCAGGACCAGTATGTCCAGCAAGCATGGCCTTTTTGCCCTCATGAGTAGATGCATTGTTCCCTGTGTCCAGCAGGAAGTTGAGTAAGAAAACACTGCAAAGTTCGGTGGGCAGGGGGCAGGGATGTCATGAAATGACCTTAAACATCTTCCCACTGCACCTTATTTTGCTAGGCCTCTATATGCAGGCAAGAGCAGCAAATAATTAAGAAAAAAAGAATCACATCTTTGAATTGTGATGAAGTTTAACAAAAAAATTCCATAGGGGGGCTCAGTGGTAGAGCGCTTGCCTTGCATGCATGAGGCTCTGGGTTCAATTCCTCAGCACCACATAAGCAAAAAGAAAAAAGCCAGAAGTGGAACTATGGCTCAAGTGGTAGAGCGCTAGCCTTGAGCTGAAGAGCTGAGGGACAGCGCCCAGGCCCAGATTTCAGGCCCTATGACCAGACTCCCCCCCCCCCCAAAAAAAAAAAAATTCCATAGGATGCTCCTATGCAACCCTCATGGCCCCTGTCACTTCCCATTGGTACTGACAGAGAGTGGCCTACTGGTGGGTCTGTGCTCCCTACCTTATACATTCTTTGTGAAGCAGAGCACTGGTCTCCATCAGCAGAGAAAAGGACAGGGAGTCCTTTTCAGTTGTCAATATTTAAAAAGCTTTCTAACTTTAAAGGACTGCCTCTGCTTGACTGTTAACAAACTGGAACATTCAGTTACCTGGAAAATCCCCATCCCTAAAATATTTAGGGAACCTGAGCCTGCTCTAGAAAATAAAAATTGATTTCTATCCCACAGGTCTTGTCACCGAGTGTGCAGCCCCTGGAGGAAGGGGGCTGCTCAGGAGTCTGGGTCCAGGGAGTCCCAGCTCCCCTCTGCAGCCCTCACTTCCTGGTGGCTGGTCTCTGTGTCACTCTCTGGTGCCTCACGTGGGTCCAGCTACTGTATCAGGATGTAATTCACTGGCTGCCCCATAAGTCTAGGCTCTGCTGAGCCCATCAGGACAGGGACAATAAGGTGGCAGCTCAAAGGCTATTTCTAAGGCTCATGGTCGATGGACCGCACCAGCCATGATTATCATTTTAATTACCATGCCTTGGAGTCCTTACATTCAAGGTACAGATTTCAAAGAGCACAAAGCCCTCTTAGGCTCCAAAGGGACTGTGCCACAGACGAGCAGGGCCCCATAACCACAGCATTCTTGCTTGCTCTAGCTAACAGATTTACCTAGAAAGGAGAATTCTGACTCTTCCAAGATCTGGCTATGGTCCCACCTCCTCTGGTACCTTCACTTGAGCCCACACTTGGTCCCCTTTTGTCAAGGACTCTTCCCACTATCCTGCCTAGAACTCCTTAGCACCTCATGATTTTCCTCCCCCTGGTTTGCTGTCTCATGGTGTTGGGAACTGTTAAAGACCTCCTGCTGTCTTGCTTCCATTAGGACATACTGCAGTCTTAGTGAGCAGGAAGCATGTCTGACTCTTTCCCAAGTCCTACGATTAGCAAGTGCTTGACATACATTCTTTGCACAGGTCATGCCTGTCCTGGAAATCTGTCCTAATTCATGCTATCTTTTTCTGGCTTTCCAGAGTGGAATACTCTTTGAGCATTTAAAGTTATATGATATAATTCACATAAAATTGATTGCATTTATTATTCAGTAAATACTCAATATGTATAAACTCAACACAGCTTAGAATTTATCGTTAGTCATGTGGGGTTCATGGTTTGACCCACAGTGACTAAAGCCAAGAGAGTCAGCCCTTGCAGTGCTGGGGATATGCAGGAGGACCTTGCCCATGCTAGACAGGTGCTATACCAATGGAGCTCAATCCTGGCCCCTCCAGTGGACTAGGGGTTCATGGTAATCAGAGGGCAGCACTGAGGGGCTGACAAACATGCCTGGTTCGCATGCTGAGACCTGAGCTTCAGGGTTATCAGACCATAATCAAGAATTCCTCATTAGAGTTCCAAACTGCTGCCTGCAAAATGCCCTTTGTCCTCATCTAGGCCACTCTAAAAGCCACTTTCCCCTAAGCAGCTTTTGCCTTCTGGAGAAGCTCTGCCAGAGGGAGTGAGTCTGGAGCCAGAATGGAACTCAGCATTCCTAGAAGCTCTGGCCTGGTCCTGAGTCACAGCAAAACAGAGGCAGTTTGCTGCATTGTGACGGTGAGCCAAGAGAAGGCTAATTGTACAAAGCTTTTCCCTTACTTATACTCAGTTTGTGCAGTATTGGTGGACAGATACAGGAGGTGTGACTATGGGCCTCCCTGGGGACAGGAGCAATGTCAGATTCCTCCCTAGAACCCAGTGTGAGCACACCTAACATCAGTTGCTGTTGGCTGAGTGACTGAGTGGGGGTTTGAAGTTAGAGGCGGGGTAGGCCAGGACAGGTGATCTGGGTTGGACTTAGCCAAGGCTCCTAGGTGTATCTGGGGACAGTGGGAGCAGCCTGCTCCTGAGGTGCCCTGTGTTTACCCCGGGGTGGCCCCTTATCTCCACCCCTGAGTGACTGCAGCAGCCTCCCCACTCCTGTGCTTCCAGAACTATTTTGAGAGCTACCTGGCCATCGCCTGCACCGTGCCCTCCCTGCTGTGCCTCATGGCCAACTTCCTGCTTGTTAACAGGTAGGCTACCTTCCCCATTCTCTGACCTCCACCCTTGTCTCCTCCCTCCCCTTCCCTCTCATCTCTGACTGCTTTTTATTGTGCTTAGGTGACAGCCGCCCAAGTAAGAGTAGCTCAGCCTTGGCTTCACAGCTCATATGTGAGGTCAGGTGCCTGGGGTGCCAGGGCAGGAGCCAGAGGTTCTCCAGTCCTGCTTGGGGACATGAGATCAGCAGCTCGCAGGAGGTATGTGGGGACACATACCTCCCTTCAAGTTAAAAGAACATTGAGTTGACATGGCCTGTAGACACCCCTCTCACTTCCTGTACCCCTACTCCCGTGATCCTCACCATCCTCAATTTGAGCTTAGGAAGGTAGTAGCTATAGCCCCTTTGCCTGCATTTCCCCAAAGCTTCCACTAAATGATAATGGTGGCTTCTCTTTGGCCTTCAATTGGGCAGAGCATCTTGAAACCTTAGATCATAGATGCACATCTGTTTTACTCATCTCTGACCAATTTGAGACAATTTCCAGTTCCATGGTTGAACATGTTTCTAAAGCAGATCTTGGCCTCAAGGTGTATGCTGTGCTCGATTAGTGATGTCTGCTTTGGGTATATCGGAGAAAGGGCAGCATGAGTACATGAATGTTAAGTTTGAATAAGTTTAGTAAATATATCATGCTATAGGGCTGCAGTGATCCCTTCTGTATGTAATATATGCTCAAAGCATAATGGCTAGAAGCAGGAGCAGTAATTAGATTCTCTCGTGCGGGTGGGAAAGGCAGGTCGGTTATGTACCTCATGCAGATGCAGTCAGAGCAGGTAGGGCTGGAAGCCATTCATTCCCTCTCATCTTTTGTCTTTCCTCCTCTTCCCTCACCTGTGGGCAACAGGGTAACAGGAGGTAACATTGTCACTGAAGAGCAAATGCTTCAAGAGAGCCAGGGAAATTCCCTGGCAGATTTTGCAACTTGACCAGCCAAGTCACATTGTGTCACTTTAACCCCAATTGACAGGTCAGAGCCATTACCATGCCCACTCCATTTCCAGGGGACCTCCTCCCCCACCTCTCCATAGGAAGAGAGAATTTGCACCCCTTTGAAACTCAAGTACAATCTAGAAGAGACGAAAGAATTCAGACAGGCCTGCAGGCTTCATATTCCCAACAAATCATCTGGCCTCTGATCCCACCTTTGGCCCCCAGGACTATAGTTAGTGTCCTCCCAGGGGAGGCACAGCCTACTGAGACCCCATCCCCAGGAGGAGGAGGAAAGAGTGTTGCCAAGATCACCTGGGTATGTGACCATCACCACCAGCAGAGCAGTATCCTTGGAGGTATCTGGAAGGAAGGAGGAGAGCAAGGGCATGGCAGACAAGGTTTGAGGAGGAGAAGGGCAGCCACAATGTGGAGAAACACCAGCCATTTCTCCTCTGGGCTTCTTATGGATTTCCACTTGCTGATTGCCTCAGGGATGAGGTATGGGTCCAGCTGTGATTGCCCAGGCGCTCATGAATGAACTCTCTTGCCCTTGGTAGCTCCCCATCTGAAGGGTACAAGGTGCAATGGCCCAGTTACCCACTTTCATGCCCATCAGGATATGTGGGGACCCTGAAGGGAGTAGTGACATCACCCTGTCTTTCAAATTGAAGGTGGGCGGAGACCCAGGGCCACGACAGGATGGCCCAGCTGTATCTCCCCTGGTCTCTCCCTCAGTGGTCATGGAGGTCCAGCAGGCTGGAAGTCAGCCTAGGACTAAGGTTAGCAGCAGCACAAAGGCCCAGCCTCAGGGCCCAGTAGAATAAGCTCCAGTGAGACCCATCAGCATATCTGAGCAGCTGTCCTGCAGGTACGGCATGGTGGCACCTGTCAGCAGGAAGCTCTCTTAACTCTGCTTGAGGGTAGGAGGACAGCCAGTGGAGGTGACCAGTCTAGGTCACATGGCCATTCAGGGTGGAGCCAGGATTTGTTCCAGCTGGACCTCTTGGACACCTGCTTCCCTGTCCCCGGCTTTATATCCCTACCTCCATACTCCAGACTTCAGGCTACTGGGCAGGAAGGAGGCCTTGAGGAAGGGGCTGGTGGGGAGCTGGTCCACCAGCCAGGAGCCTGCCCTTGCCCTTGCCCTTGCCCAGGAGGACCGAGGGCCATGTTGGGAAACATTCCTACCCTCCACCTGTTTCCAGGCTGTGGGAAGATGTTTTGGGCTAAGCTGTTTTTTATTTCATGTGCGAAAATTGAAATGTCTCTTTCTCTGCCCCCTGGAGCACCCTGGCTTTCTCTGACTGGCTCATCTATAATCGCCAAGTGTTTTATTATGTTAAATCTGGAGTATCATAAATACTTATGAGGAGGATTTACATTTTGGAGACTTATGAAGAAATCAGTCCCCTGGGGTCCTAAGCCCTCACTGGCAAGTGAGGTAGGGACTAGCAGCCCTCCCTACGGATCTCCACAGTCCCCAACGTGGCCTGCCCTGGCATTGTGGGACATAGCTGGCATTGTGACCATGCTTTGTTCCCAAGTTGAAGAACTCTGACACCCAGCAGCCCCTACCTGGCCTTTACTGTTCCCCAAAACATTATCCTGGGCTACTCTCCCTGCCAGGAATGAGAGGCAGAGAGGGGGTTAGTGTAGCTCATGATGCCCATGGGGTGAGTTTTGAAAAAGCCCCATGTGGCTCCAAGGCCTGGAGCCTGCAGATGGAGGGCAGCTGGACCAAAGGAAATGGGCAAATGCTGAGGCCCCTGGGCAGCTGTGGGAATTATGGGGAGGGGCAAAGGCAGCCAGGCTTTTGTGGTACAATTGGCATATACTCCCACATCCCACTCCTCCCTTCTTTACTGCCCTGAAACAGCCTGAATAAGATGTTCTCCAGTTTTCTGCAAAGCTACCTTCATGTTCAAGCAACGACAAGTTCCTGGGGAGGACATTTTAGCCCGTCAGAATCCGATGGGAGTGTGGGGCAATTTCCTGTCTCTGAGGGGGTGGAAAAGATGATGGAAGCTGGGATATTTAGAACAGTGTGGAAATCCCCCACTCTTCTGTGCTGCCCTGCTAGTCATTTATACCCTGCTAGTCATTTTGGACATCCAGCCAGTATTTACCAGGTGCCTCTGTCTCCTTTTAAATTTCTTCAGATTTAGAATTGCCACTATTAGGAACCTTCATTTTATTTAGTCCAACTTCTTTTTAAAAATGAGACAGGGAAGTCAGTTGTTTGCCTAAGATTATATAGTAAGTCCTGGCAGACTGTTGCTGGTTTATAACTTGGGTGTGATTGGGGCAGTCCAGCTACCAAGAGAAGGTGGCCTTGTGTGACAGGGTTGAATGTGTAGGGTCACCCTGAATATCAGGACTAAGGCTTAGCCACGAGCACCTAGTATAGACTTAAAATGGACAGTCTAACTTCCAGGCATCCAGCTGTTCCACCTGATTTCCTCCACAACCCCATCCTGGCTGGAACCCCTTTAAGGCCTGGGCAGATATATCTTAGGTTGGGGCCTTATTAGCCGTTATGATGTGAGGGTTCCCAGAAACAGATTCTGGGATGAGGGTTCAATGAGTAGCTAATTTGGGACTGAAGGTAGGAAAGAAGGGAAAGAAAGGGAGCCAGGGGAGAATGCTTGTCAACTCAGTCCCCACACAGCACCACTAGAGCTCAGTCTTGCCTAAATCTCAGGGAACCAGTGTAGAACACATACCTGAGAGGGAGGGAGGGAGCTGGAGGTGATGGGAGCATTGGATGAGCATTCGCAGATCAGTGCCAAGGTAGACTGATGTGCCTGTGTGCAGATCCCTGACCCAGTCCCAAAGGGAAAGGACATCCAGCCAAGTCTTGTATCCATTGTTTGAGGCTGGTCTGGTGCGGGCTATGAAGCCAGCCATCTCCCTAGACCAGCTTGGCATGGAGGAGCATTCTCAGGTGGGATAAGGGGACAGGTAGATAAACACCACAGCCTCTTTGACCTCACTCTGAGGATCAAGTCCTGGACTTGTAGCAGGGTCAGCAAACTGGACTCTCACTGGAGTGCTTAATGACACAGCACCTCTTGCTGCTCTGCCCTGGGTCCCACACCCACAGTTCTGCACAGTAGTTCATTGCTTGTTTGTGGACCAAGGGCAGCTTCATAGAAACACATGGTGGCAGATTAAACCACCCTGGGTTCAGCACTTCTGGCTTTCTGTCCCAGCTCCCCACTGACACCCTGTGACCTTGAACTATCCCTTTACATCCTTAGCTTCAATCTGCAAAGCAGACTTGGTCCCTGCGAGATTTCTCTCCAAAGACCAGGAGACTAGTTAGCCTTGGGCTAAGAACATACCTTGAAAATGCCCTTTCTTCCTCTCCCACTTCCCACCTATTTACTACATAGGCCTCTATTTTTTCCTACCTTTCAAGTTTGTCTTTCTTTTTTCTTTTTTTTTTAAATTAAAAATCTGTGTATATCTAATATGATCTCTCCTCTCTCTCTCTCATGCACACACACACACACACACACACACACACACACACACACACACACACACACACTAGCTACAAGCAAAATGAACTAAAGATCATTCTAGTTTAAAGCGTAGTCTAATTGATGGCTTACATAGCCTTGAGTTGGTGTTCTCTCTCCTGGATTAAGCAGCACTCTTTCTCTGACTGCTCCCTTCTCTGAGGTTTTCCCAGGGCAGGCAGGGGTTAGGCAGGCAGAGTGCAGTAGATGCTCGATGAAGGGTGGTGGTGCTGGCATGTGGGACCCTGGACTTAGTCTGTACTAATTTGGCCTCAGCAGCCCTCAACCCAGCTGAAATCTCCTGGGAGTTTCCCAGACCTGTCCCTTTCTGTGCCATGCAGACTCCTTTGTCCCAGGGGTGGAAGTAGGGCATCATTCTAAGACAGCTTGGAGTTGGGCCTCCTGGGGTCTCAGCTGAGTGACCTTGAAAAAGCTCCTTCCCCTCTGTTCTAAGCTCCTTTTGTGTACCAGGGATAGGGAAGAATAGCTACCTTTCAGAGCTGGTATGGGAAGTGAGTGGTAGCATTTAGAAGAACACCTGTCTTGAATTCAGGACTGTGTGATGATTCCCCCCTGCTCCATCTCTCACTGCTGAGTTTCAGGTACCGAAGCCCAGAGCTGATTACTGAGTTTGGACACTAGACAAAGCTAGCACTGTGATAGGAGGGGATGGGGCTTGCATGGCATCCAATCCTTGAGCTTCATAGCAAAGGAAACAAGCAGCAATGTCTACTAGTGTCTGCCCTAAGCTGGGGCCTGCTGTCCATAATGCACAGGTCACTTTCCTGGAGCCTCACCTTCCCTTCCCCCCCCCCCCCCCTTGAAGTGGATCTATTCCTCCAGTGTGACCTGGACAGAAGCAAAAGCCAGGATACCCAAGTCATCTGAGACCACAGGACTGGTGATGAGGAAGCCAGGATTCAACCAGCCCCCCCCCTCCCCCCACAGCAGAGCAGGCAGTCTCCCCATGGAGCTTGCCCACCCACTTCCCCCAGACAGCTCCCCATCTGACCCTGTGGAAGCCTGTGAGATTTCTAACTGGTTCTGGGGTTCTCACCTCAGGGCTCCAGTCCATGTCCGTGTCCTGACCTCGCTGACCATTATGCTGGCTGTCTTCATGGTGATGATTGCATTAGTAAAGGTGGACACTTCCTCCTGGACCCGAGGCTTCTTCACTGTCACCATTGTCAGCGTGGTCATCGTCAGCAGCTCTTCCACCATCTTCAGCAGCAGCATCTTTGGTCTGACAGGCTTTTTCCCCATGAGGAATTCCCAGGCAATGATATCAGGTAAGGGCCAAGCTCCGGCCTCAGCCTCGGGAGGCTGGCCAGAGGCTGGCCATGGGAGAGACCAGAGGTGAGCATGGTGACTCCCCTAGAAAAGGAGATATTGTATATCTAATCCCTGTTGTTGCAGAACAAACAGCCCAGACTCAGAGTCATTTAACTTATTTACAAAATAAATAAGGAGTTGGCAGGGACAGCTTGACTGGGGCTAAGGGAACACATTGAAGGTGGTACCCAGGAAGCCTGAAGGAGCCACTTCCAAGATGACTGCCAGTGGCTTTGGCTTCTTTCCACATAGGCCTCACCATGGCTTCTAGGGCTGCCCTGTGGCATGGTGCCAGGTCACATCCCAAAAGGCCCAGCAGAGCTGTATTTTGACATAGCCATGAAAGCCACATAGGGCCACTGCCATGTAGCTGTTAGCTCGCCTGGCTCAAGACACAGACCCACATGTATCAGTGGGTATGTAGAAGTAGAAGTCGTGTGAAGAGGGCAAATGGAGGGGAGACAGTTAGGACATTTGTAGAAACCTGAGTCTGCTATCAAATGTCATTTCTTTTTTTTTTTTTTTGTCGGTTGTGGAACCTGAACTCTGGGCCTGGGTGCTGTCCCTGAGCTCTTCAGCTCAAGGCTAGCACTCTACCACTTGAGCCACAGCGCCACTTCCAGCTTTTTCTTCTTATGTGGGGCTGAGGAACCGAACCCAGGGCCTCATGCATGCAAGGCAAGTGCTCTACCACTGAGCCATCTTCCCAGCCCTCAAATGTCATTTCTGAAACTAGTTTTCCTTTCCTTCCTCTCTTCCCTTCCTTATTTGCCCTCTTCCTTTCCCTTTCCCTTCTTGTTCATTTTCCTCCCTTTCTTCTCTTTCTAGTTTGTGAAGGACTTGCTCTGTGTGGGCCTCAAAGATGAACAAGACTGTCCTCTCAAATCCATAGTCTAGTGAATAAATTTGTGCTCACCTGGACAGCGGCACCCCATGGGCTTACTCAGACCTGACCTAGCCTGACTTCTCTAACAGGAATTTTGTTGTTTGGGTTTTTGGCAGCATTGAGGTTTGAACTCGGGACCTTGCACTTGCTAGGCAAGTGTTCTGCCACTAAGCCATGCCCACAGCCATTCTAGCAGAATTTTTGATGCCCATTATCAGGATCTTGGCTCTTTTATCTCACTCAGATACCCCCATGAAGTAAATTGAGCTGACTGAGTTAGTGTCCCTGTAATACTCAGAGAATACCCTGCAGCAAGCCTGGAGGCTCTGCTGCTCTGTGTCCACACACACACACACACACACACACACACACTCACACACACACACACACACACGCATACACACACACACACACACACTCACACACACACACGCATACACACACACTCACACACACTCACACACACACACGCATACACACACACACACACGCATACACACACACACACACACACACACACACACACACACACATCCTTGTGCAGAGGAATGCTTTAAACATATGCCAACCTGAGAAGCATTGCACAAAGGAGCTGCAGTGGGTATGAGTTAATCATGCTAGTAGTATGTGGCAGGGATGACAAGTACCTTGACAAGCAGATAGCCCCTCCCTACTCTGTGCCAGTGCCAGACATCACTAATAGATCTCTATCTTTCCTCTTGAGCCTTTAAATCCCTCTCCTGCCAGCACTTGAGGCAATTACTCTCTTTGGATCAGAGCGTAGATGTGAGCTTGTCTCTTTGCCATTTTTTTCTTTGCCATTTTTGATATAGGATTAGGCTGCTAGCTCTATCCTAGGAAAGCCTTGGGCCTAAAATAAAATAAAAACGAACTTGTTGCTAAGCTTTCTGAGTACCGTCAGCCTGCCCCAACAATGGTTCAAGAAAGGCAGGTCTGGGCAGAGGAAATGGCTGCCAGACCTTAACCCTTCCTCTGACCTTGGCCTCAGAAGGATTTTTTCCCTCCTTGGTTCCCTTAATCTACCAGGATTTTTCAGTACAGCTCCAGCCTTGCTGGCCACCTCTCCAGGAGCTGGTGGCCCACATATGCCATTCGTGTTAACACGTGGTCCTTCCCATCCAGCTTCTAGCTACAGATCTCTAGGGAAGTAGTTTTCTGGGAATTTCTCAGAAAGTCCACATAAACGCACCTCTCTTTCCCCTGGTCCCTCTGTGTGTGACCCCCATGAGCACCCAGCAACCTGTACCATCTGAAGTGTTTCAGCTTCCCATAGGCCTTGCCCCCCTCCCCCACCCCGTTCTTTTTGTCAGAGGAGCCCATCTGTGAATTCTGCACACATCTTGTCAGCATCTGAAGAACAATTCATTTGTTTGGTACTGGTGTTTTCTTAACCCCTCATTTGCATGTATTTCCATAACTGATGAGATAAACATAGGGAGTCATGAAGGATGAGCTCCCGGAGGCCTGGTTTGTGGTTGACGATAATATTGTAAATTCTCTATAACTTGGAGGGAGAAGGGAAACATAGGAGGGGAAGGTAAGATCTCCTCCTCAGGGCAGCTGCCTAAAGTCTTCCCGAATATAACCCCACTGCTCACAGAACGTCTGGGGGATTATAGCTTCTCAGAAGTGAGGATCCTCTTGGCGGAGGGTTTACCTGTTGCTAATGCTTTGATGTAAGAAGGACAGAAATAACCAAATACCTAAGTGGGAATCAGAGCGGGCTTATTTAGTACATGGCACTTCTCAGCATCAGGCCCTGTTCTACATGAAATAATCCTTTGAATCTTTACAATGGCCCTAAAGGTGGTGGCTCCTCTTAACACCTCCATTTAATAGATGAGCAGATGGAAGCACAGAGAGGCTAAGGGACTTGCCAAAGATCACACAGCTAGCAGTAGGAAAGCTGTGATTGAAGGTTCTGAGCATGCTAGTGGAATATATGTTGGGAAAGGTGGGGGAAGGAATCATCTCTGGGGGCAGATGCTTCTTGCAGAGCCATGGCAATGCTGGGTGCTCTGGGCATGGGAGGAGCAGGGTTGGGCCTCACAGGGGCCTCCCCTCTCTGCCCCAAAGGAAAGTACTACCGGCCGATGACCAAGTAACTCTGTCTTCAGGGGCCAGTTTATGCCCTGTGGCTTGTAATCAGCCTCTCAGATGTTCTGAAGCATTGACCTTCTGCAGCCCAGCACATTCACCAGGCCCTGGGTACCTTCCCTCTCCTACTGTTTCCTGCTCACTATACTCTCTTGGGATGGATAGTACAATAGTCAGCCCCATTTTCCAGGGAAACAGAGGCAGAGGAGAGAGTAAATGGCCTACTCTGCATTACAGCAGGATTCCCAAGTCTCTAGCTCTTGGCCAGTACTGAGTAACATCTCATTAGTGTGAAAGTTTAAAGAAAGGGAAGACAGCCCTGCCTCCCAGGAGCAACCAAGCACCAGTGTGGTGGGCAGTCCCCATCATCTGGTCCTTTTTAGAGATCAGCTCCTTTAGTCTTCAAAGCAGCAGTAGTGCCAGGTGGGGTTTTTTTCCCATTTCATGCATGAGCAAACTGGCCCAGAGAAGTCAGGTTAGCCTTCAAGGTCACAGAGAGAGAGAGAGAGGGCAGGGGGAGCATGCAGCAATGTCAAGATCAGGTGTGCATCCATTTGTCTCCGAGAGCAGGGATGGGTAGGTTCTAGGTGCAGTGAAAGGATGGTGACAACATTCACGTGATCACATGTCAGAACCCATGGCAGGGACAGCATTTGTATGTTTTTGGCAGGTTGCAGACTTGTGTGTGTGTGTGTGAGAGAGAGAGAGTCTACATGTGTGGGTAGTATGTGTTCATGTTCACTCCTATGTGGAGTACAGGGAAGTTCCATGAGTTCATGGTAGGTTCAGGAATTGTGGTTAGGAAGGATGGCCTCAGATGGGATAGCCTTGGAGGCAGTGGGCTAACCCAAGCCAGGAAAGCACCCTGAGCTAGTAGATGGTTTGTGCCAGTGGCAGAGAAAAGGGGATCAGAGCTACTGAGATTTCTGGCCCTGAGTCTAAAATTTGGGATTCTGCTAATAGGGCAGTAAAGATGGAGACCAGAGTCCTAGGAAGCCAGGACCAGAGCAGATAGGTAAGGCCTCCTTGGAGACAGAAGTGCGTGGGTAGAGGATGTGGAGCAACCACTCCACCTGGAACTCTAGAACTTGGCCTTCAGATCTCCTGCCCCATGCCTACCTGGTCTCAGGATGGCTGCCTGTAGCTCTGGGCATTTTCACACAGGGGCTTGTTTGGGTGTGAGTAGAGGGGCCATGCACCAATTCGTGCCACCCTGACCATCTCTGTGTACCTTCTGCCACCACAGGAGGAGCCATGGGAGGGGCCCTTAGCGCCGTGGCCTTGATGGTGGACCTGGCAGTGTCCAGAGATGTGCAGGAGAGTGCCGTGGCCTTCTTCCTCATTGCAGCCATCTTCCTCGGGCTCTGCATGGGGCTCTACCTGCTGTTACCCCGGCTGGAGTATGCCAGGTGAGAGGGCATCCCACCCCACCTGCCCTTCCGGCTTCATTTGACAACAGTGACAGATGGCTGGTGTCTACTTGCTCTGTTCCTCATCTAATTAGATCTGCAGTCCCTGTTTTTGTCTGTCCCTTCCCCCAGCGCAAGCTCCGAGAGGACAGAAACTTGTGGAAGGTCCTGCTTTATTCCAGTCCTACTGCAGAGCCCAGCTCAGCAGTTGCTTGGTCAGTCAGTGGTGGCTAGGAGAAGCAGCACTCTGCAAGTTTGGGGAAGGTTGGAAAGCAGGCAGCAGAAGTGAGACTCAAGCAACAACAGATCCCAGTCACTGAATGCACCCTGTTTCTGTGCAGGCTCAGCCTAGCTGGTGGGGGTGGGGGAGGGGCTTGTCTTAGTCAGTGCTTGCACACCCTTGTTCCTGTGGGGTTGCTATGAATTTTTACTTCGTTACACAAATTAGAAAACCAGTCATCCAATCCCCAGTGCCCCAGGATGTGAACAGAACTCCCCAACTCTGCTTTTCACTTCTCCAGCTCTGTGGACTGCTTGCCAGTCTCCAGGACCCATCGAGTCTATCCTTCATTTCTTCTCTACTTTCTCCTGAGCCTTTCCTGCTCCCAGACTACCTTCTTGCAAGATTACTCACTTCTTATTAAGTGTGGGCAGGAGGGCTGTCTCCACTTTACAAGCGAGGACACCGAGACTAAGCAAAGGCCAGGTGGCTGGCCTGCTTGGACCCTCTGTGGCTTGTACTTTGTATGCTGCTCTGAGCACCTGCCACAGCTAGGTACACTGCAGGCTCCCACTTTGTATACTTGGAAGCCCCACATGACCCGTACCACCGTGGCCCTCTGACCACATTGCTCTTCCTGCCACAGGTACTACATGAGGCCAGCGCATCCAGTCCACATTTATTCTGGTGAGGAGGAGCTACCACAGGATTCCCCCAGTTCCCCCTTGCTTCTCCCCAGATCCCAAGAGTCCCACACACCGCCCCTGCGGCCCATCCTGAAGAAGACTGCTGGCCTGGGCTTCTGCATCATCTATACCTTCTTCATCAGCAGTCTCATCTTCCCTGCCATCTCCACCAATATTGAGTCCCTGCACAAGGCTTCCGGCTCACCATGGACCACCAAGTTCTTCGTGCCCCTCACCGTCTTCCTCCTGTACAACTTTGCTGACCTTTGTGGCCGGCAGATCACTGCCTGGATCCAGGTGCCAGGCCCCAAGAGCAAAGTGCTCCCGGGGCTGGTTTTCCTGCGCACCTGCCTCGTCCCCCTCTTTATGCTATGCAACTATCAGCCCCGCACCCACCTGACCACCATGCTCTTCCAGTCTGATGTCTACCCCATGCTCTTCACCTGCCTCCTGGGGCTCAGCCACGGCTACCTCAGCACTCTTGCTCTCATCTATGGGCCCAAGATTGTGCCCCGGGAGCTAGCTGAAGCCACTGGGGTGGTGATGTCCTTCTACCCCATAGCAGGCCTGGCTCTAGGCACCTCCTGCTCAGCTGTGCTGGAGCACCTCATCTAGGAGGAGCAGCCAGAGCATCGGTGCTGCACATAGCTTTGGGCTGCTGGTGGCCCAAAGCTGGTGGCCAGGGTCTTGAATGGCAGGGAAAAAGGGGCTCATGTTTCTCTTGATGTAGAGAACAGAGCCCATCGGGGTTTCCTTGGTTCTAGGGCCCTGGGGAACAATGCCCTTGCCAGTTCTGTGCAAGGAGAGACATTTCAGATACCTGCACACACTACTGGAGCATTTGAAGAGGGCTGTAAAGCGAAGTGTTGCCCTCAGAGCTAATGAATGGCATCTATTGGTTTGTGAAGGCCAGAACCTGGTGGTAGCGCTCTGTACTCTCCAGCCTTGCCTCTTCCAGGCCACAGCAAGATGAAAGGGAATTGTCATCCTTTTCTACTCTGAAGGAGTCCCCTGGATTTGAGGTCCAGTCCAGTGGCCAGTCCCTCAGCCCCAGCACCCAAGTCTGCACTAATCCCTGTGCTCTGTGGTTGAAAGTCCAGAATGAAGGACCAGAGAGACAGGCTTCCTGAACTCTTGGCCTCAGCGTGGCTCCAGAGATTTCCCTGGGCAAGGACTGAGCAAGGCAGACCTGAGTTTTCAGACGTGGATTGTGGGCTTCATGGTTGATCTACACCTTTGGATGGGGGGCATGGTAGATAATGGGTATTGAACAGGAACCCTGTTAATGTTTGTCAGTCAGGACCTCAGCAGGAAGTAGCATCTTAACATTGGATAACTTGGGGATATTTGGGAGTTTGCTGGTTTGCAATAGGGTTGAGCCCATGGCCTCATGCATGCTAGGCAAGCATTCTACCAGTGAGTTATAGGTCTAGTCCCTAATTTGAGGAGATTTTAAGAGAAGATGTAGGAACCCCAAGGGTTATACACACTACCCAAGAGCCCTAATGCTCTTCCACCCTGCACCTACAGGGAAGAGTAGAGTGAGTCCTTTTAGAACCTAGATCTTTAAACTTGCCTAGATGAAGAGGGGCTATATCCAGCTGTGATGCCCTCTGCCTTTTCTTCTTCTTCCTCCTCTTCCTTCTCCTCTCCCTCTTCCTCCTCCTCCTCCTCTTCCTCTTACACTTCTTCCTCTTTCTCATCCTCTGGGCCTCTGGGGACAGACAACTCCCAGGCCTCATCGCCCAGTTGCAATGCCTGACCCCAGAAATAACAGGTTCCTTTAGGTGCCTGGAAAGCTCTGGCAAGGCTGACCATCACAGGGAGAGGGTGGCTTGGGGATGGGCAAGAGCAGGGGAGAGGGAAACAAGCAGAGCAGTTTGGCCTGGGAAGTTTCAACCACCCCAAGATCTGTGGGGAGCTATGCTCTGCAGGATGATGTGCAGCCTCCCAGGGACTGATTAGTGGGGAAGCAACGCTGGTAATCCACCCTATGGTAGTAGTTTACTCCCTGCTGTCCGCTTCATACTCCTCCCTCTCCAAGGCTGGAGAATTGATACCCTTGAGAAGTTTTCTAAATTCAGCACCTCCAAACCAATCTCCCTCCAAACCAATCTCCCCCTGCCCCAGGAGCTGCCACCACCCTGTGTGGCTCCCCCTTCCCCGGTGTAATGCTGTGGGTGATTTGGGGCAGGGGTCTGGCTGGTGACATCCTGGCTGCAGTGGTATAGAAATAGCCAGCATAGTTGAGAGGGAATGGGGTCGTGGGGGTCCCACGTGCTCTGTTGATGGGTAGCTTTCAAAAAAGAAAGGCAGTGTTTGCATTAGAGAAATGGCTTGAGGTCAGCTTGGAGTGAGGGGAAAGGAGGAGAGGGACCACCTGCCCTTCCTCCTGGGGGAGAAAAACCAGGGTGACTGGCAAGCAGGAACTGGTGGCAGCTGTCACTCACCTAAGTGGGTGTATTTCAGGACTTGGTCTTGGGTATGACTGGTACAGTCATGCCCAGGAAAGGAGAAAGGGAAGTGAAAATGTACATCCAGGCTATGGGTAGACAGGGTGGGCCTCAGGATCCTTCTTCCCCTCCCCTACCTCAAACCTTTCACTGTGAGCAGCAACTCAGGTTTGATTGTTCTGTGTCTTAAGTTTCTTGTGACCAGGTGAGCAGAGCTTGTTCCCAGGATATGGCCTCCAGCTCAAGTGATCTGTGAATCCAGCCCAGACACTTGAGAAGGTGGACAGCTTGCTGAAGGGAAGGGGATTTTCCTGTGTGGGAGGTTGTGGAGTTCCCTTTGTCTTAAGTTTTCTGTTTTCATCCCAAATGTTACATTTCATATATCTCCAGACCATGCACATTCCACTTCCTTCTTTTATTCAGTAAAGAAAGGCAGAGGTAAACCAAGAGCTGTGGCTCACACTTGTAATTCCAGCTACTCCAAGCAAAAAGTTATGGAACCCTGTCTCAAAAACAAACCATTTGTAGTAGTCACAGCTGTAATCCCAGCCACTCAGGAAGTGAAGCAGAAGGATCTCAGTCTAAGTGCTTACCTGGGCAGATGTGTAAGGCTTTTTTCTAAAAAGTAACCTAAAGGAAAAGGGTTGGGAGATATGGCTAAAATGAAAGAGCATCTGCCTAGCAAGCATATAGCCCTGAATTTTTAAAACTAGTACCTTAAAACAAAAGTCCACATTAGTGGGCTCTTCAGCTGGTGGATGACAAGCTCTTCTAAGAGGAGACATGAGCAGACTTGAATAAAGGCCCCTCATGCAGGCTGCCCAGGCCAGGGTACATGGGACCAACCAATCACTCAGAGTGTGGTAGGAGGAGCCTAGGGCTCTGCCCAGCTTTGGACTCAGTAAAGGAGGTTTCATTCTCAGGAGAGGCTGGGGCTAGTCTTAGAGCCAAAAACCTCGACTCCAGGAGAGCTCGTCTACCCTGCTGCCCAATTCCTGGTCCAGGATTGCCCTGGAGATCAGTGCTTTGCCTGTATAAATTCTGTACATAAACCCAGGTTGGCTCAGAGAGCCTCAGAGGCACCCATAGGCTCACCCTGTCTCCATCATGAACACAGGCACAGCACAGAAGCTGCAGGCTTTAGAGGCACTTGAAGCAGCAACACTTATAAACACACACAATAAGGTAGAGAGTTTGGCCATGTAGGCATCAGTGCTCTCCAGTCCTAGGCAGGAAGCCACAGTGGACCCCACCCCCCACCCCATCCTGACACAGGATAGCCACACCTCCTTTTTCTGTTAGACAATACCTAGAGCTGAAGGCCCTCAGACCACTACCTCCAACCCCTGTAGCCAAGCTGAAGCTCAGTTCTGTAGGGGCCAAGAGATTGGAATGCCAATCTCAGAAAAGTTCCCAGAATGCTGGGACTGGAGCCCTGGAAAGATCCAACAGTCTAGGCAATACAGAGGGTCAAATGACTACCCTATGTGTTGAAAATGAGAGTCCATGTTAATGTTGGAATGTTCATTGCTTCCCTCCAGCTTCCTAAGATAAGGTCAATTATCACTTGTATGCAAATGGTGCCTCATGTTGTAACCCTAGCCTTCCCACATATCTTTATTCCCCTCCCTCTGTTCTAAACTCAATAAAAACCCTTGTTAATGAGGTCCTGGCATCCAACAGCTGGAATTGATTCATGTCCCCTGGTCCCCCCAAAACCTCAGTTCTTTGGCTGTATTGCTCTTGGTCGAGGCAGATTGGTCGATTGTGACACTGGCAACACCAGACCTGAGATGACCAGAAGATTCTCCCAGACTGAGCATGCTCTGTGCTGCTCCTATTTTGGAAAGAGCCCCCCCCCCCCCAATACGTTCCCCACTTGCATCTCCCAGTAGTGTCACTGCCCAAGCCCAGCCCACTCCCTGCAGTTCAACCAAGACATCCAGTGCTCCTGGATTTCATATGTCATTCTTACTTCTAAGAACCTTACACAGGCCTTCATCTGAAGGCCTTGGGTGGAATGAGTGGTTCCTAGGGTCCCTGGGGCCATGTGTGGCAGTATATGTGACTCTGTCCCTTGCAGATGGTACTCATGTCCACGGGCAGCACTTGAGAGCTAGTCTGCCTTGTGTTGAACCTGCCTTGTCTCTTGTTCATCAGAGAGTGACTTCGGGTAAGACTTAAGTTTTCTATATCTCAGCATCCTAGTGTATAAGGCAGTGCCTGTCCTAGAGTTCTGGTGATGACAAGGGAGTTAGTTGATCCATGGGGGCTGGAGGACCACTCATCTTCCTCATTATGTGGGGAGGGAGTAGGACAGGGGGGTTCTTGGTACTGTTCTGGTAAGGAGAGATAGAGACCTACCCAGTGGGCAGCCTCTGCCTGTGAGTGCAGTAAGTCCTGCCGACTGGCAGGTGGAAGAAATTGTGGCAGAATAGAATCTGCCCGCTGCTTCCAGAGGTGGAAGGCTACCCTTTATGGAATCTGTGATGTGAACCAGATCCATTCAGTTTCCATCCAGGTCATGGGATGCAGTAATGGCTTTGGGCTTGAGTCAGAGGCTACACCTCTCAGTGCACCTGGAACATCAGCCTGTAGCATCTCTCCTGTGGCCTTGTGGAAGACCCCTGTTTCATCTGATGCCTGGAGAGCGCAGAGAACCACTGCCACTTGAAGCCGAGGGAGCCATGGAGTTGATGTGTCAGCTGCATTGCAGCCTCTGTCATCCCTCACTCTAGAGGAGCCCCACCTGAGATTAAAGCATGCAGCTCCCAGTGGTAGAGCTAGGCTTTGACCCAGCTTGCACACTCCTGAATCCAGCACCTGGGTGTTCTGTACAGCAGATACAGTGGCTCATCAGATCCCGGGAAGTGCTTGGAGGATCGCAGAGGCCTGAACTTGCCCTTCCACAGGATGGGTGTGAGCTGGCAGTTCACCCTGCTATCAAGTTCCCAGGAGGTGCTGATGCTGCCAGTCTAAAGGCACCACCTCAAGAACCATTGTGCTCCTGAAGACAAATGAGGCACTGTCAGGAGCTTGCCCCTGGCCCAGAGTGAGAGCAGAGAGCAGGGGCTTCATCTGTTCTTGTTCCGGCTCAGACCTCAGGGCTAGACCGTTTTTAAAGGAGCCATTGCATTTCAGACCCTCATTCAACCCTCCATAAACGTGGCTGCAGTCAGGTGGCCTCTGCATCTTAAGTGCCAAGCGTGTCCTCTCCACTGATGCCCACCAAGGCTGCTATGCAGAGGCTTCCCGCTCAGTTGCATCCTTCCCACCTGCTCTCTCCAGCTGAGGCCCACCATCAGAAATATTCAGGAGGGAGATGGGAGGGGTGAGAAAGGAGAGGGCAGAAGGGCAAGTGTGAGATGGGGAGCTGTGTCTCTCACCCCTGCCAGGATTTCCTGGAGTTGTGGGGGGAGTGGGGAGGGGGTGGAGAGCCACCTCCTGCCAGGAGAGACTCATGCCTCCTACCTGCTCCCCTGAGCTCATTAGCACCAGAGGTGATGTTCACTGGTCTTCATTTTTGCTGGGTTTGTTGAGACTCAAAACAGGAAATGTGCCATTACCAAACAGCAAGGCTTTTTGAAACAGAAACTGGATTGACTGCATTTTCTAATGTTTTGTGAGCTAAGAATGGAGAAGTCTGGTCTTCCTTTGTCAAAGTTGTCTTTTCAAAGAGGGTTGTACAGGCTTGCTTTCTGTCCAGAAAGCTCCCAGGGAGGGAGGGGGAAGGAAGGAGTCAGTTGCCAAAATGTACTAAGCCTGTTGATGCCATACCAGCTGCCCCCTGGCCTGTTGGGAGGATGTGAGCAAGGGAAAAAGAAATTTCTCTTTTCTTGCTTTATGCTGCTCCAGGGCCTCAGGCTCTGTCCCATTGGGTAAGGCCCAACCGACTAGCTTCTTATAACTAGGAGAATCAGGATGCAGGGCTTACAGTTAGGGAGCTCTGGATAAGTTGCTGGCCTTGCTGAGTCTCTGTATTTTAGGAGTATTTATTAATTTTGCATACCTCAAAATTCTGATCACATCGGTGTCTTATTAACTGCAAAGAGCTTATAAGATATCATCTCTTCTTATGATTACATAGTCCTTAAATCCATGTGAGCCCCTGAACAAGGAGTTGTAGGAACTTGGAGCTCATAGCCCCTCCACCTTCTGGAACTTGCTGTAGGTGCTGAGCATATCAGAGTTATTTGACAGATGTGCTGAGGGCCAAGGCGGGCCATTTCCTAACTCCATGCCCCCACAGGGAGCCTTCATGCCACACTACTAGGCACTGGAGGAGGGGCTGACTAACTTTGGAAGGGGTTGGAACAACCCATATGTGTGCCTGGGAGACCTCTCTGGAGCTGCAACTAAAAAGAACTCTGAGAGTCAGTGAGTGTGGACTTGAGCCAAGCTTCCAGCTCATTACAAAGGTCTGTGTGCCGAGGTGGAAGGAGGCTTATAAGTGCTACTGGGCTAACAGCTGGCATATGGAGACATGTGGCATAAGCACTTTTATTTGTACTCTTGTCCTAGGTCCTTACTAGAAGCGTGAGAGTGGCCTGCTTGGAGCCAAGCAGACCTCTTTTCCTCTTGATCTGTGCCTCCATCTCTGCTGTCCTGAATAGTCACAGCCATGTCTCACTAGGAAATGTAGTCAGGGTCAGTGGAAACTAGTAGAGATTTCAGCAGCTCCTTTTCTTCTCTCACAAATTTCTTACCCTCTTAGGGACATTTAGGACAGACCATGGCAGGGACAGAATGTTTTTTTGCTTCTTAGTGCTACTGTGTTGCTTTACAGCAAGGGATGGTGTTACATCCTGCAGCCATGTGGGATTAGATGATGCTGAAAAGAGCCATGAGTTCTATCTTGGTGTCTCTTGCTCCCATAAAGCAAGCCTGGTAGTCAGGGAACAACTGCACACAGAGATGCTGCCTATCTCTGCCCTGCCTCTGCCCTGGAAGGGAGCAGACCCTTTGTTGGGAAGGGAGAAAGTCAGTGGGTGAAAGGGGGAATCATTGGTGACCTCACCCTCCCAAGTCATGGTCCTTCTGGGTAGAAGCTAGATCTCCTATCCCTTCCTTGGTTTGATGCATGTAAGTCAGTCTCCAGTGCCCTTCTACTCATGCCCCAATACTCTGACACAGAAGTGGAGTTACAGGCCTCTGTAAATTAAGCTTCCTTCACTCCACAATGTCAGATAGGTACATTTGTTCCATAGTTGCTTTCTGTGAACCTAGGAAGGCGTAGTAGAGGTGGTAACCATCAAATTCTGCTGACTTCCTCACCGTGATGGAGATGGCGCTGACATGAGGGACCTCAGCTGCTAGTGACTTCCAGTGCCATACGCTGTATTAAACACAATCTCAGCACATGGACATTATTCCCATGTTAGTTCTTCCAGTCTGTTTATACACTGGGGTAATCTTAATGCTTGACAAATTTATTTGCCCTTTTAAACAAGAAATCAGAACTCAAATCAAGGTCTTGCCTGCTAGAATTGAAAGCAGTGTGTAATTTTGTTTTAGTTGTTGTTTTGTGCTGGTCCTGGGGCTTGAACTCAGAGGTTGGGTGCTGTTCCTGAGCATAAGGTCAGTGCTCTACCACTTGAGCCATAGCTCTACTTCCAGCTTTTTAGTGGTTAATTGCAGTCTTTCAGACTTTCCTGGATTGGCTTTGAATCACATTCCTTAGATCCCAGCCTCCTTAGCAGCTAGAATTATAGGTGTGAGCTACTGTGAAAGTGATGTTTTTATATTTCTTTCTAAGGTATTTTCTAGTTATGGCAGGTGCTCCACTGAAGTAATAATATACAGGTTTTATTAAAAAGTAAGTACAGCAACTGAATTTTAAAATATTCGGTTAAGAAATACAAGTGGCACCAGGTGTGGTGATGCATGCCTGTAATTCCAGCACTTGGAAGACAGAGGCAGGAGAATCTGAATTCCAAGCAACCTGGATTATGTAGCAAGTCTGAGGCCAGCCTGGCCTACACAGAGAGACCCCCATCTCCTAAAAAGTGAAGCAGAAGAAGAAGAAAAGAGAAGGAAGGAAGGGAGGGAGGGAGGGAGGGAAGGAGGGAAGGCGAAAAAAAAAGCCCTAACTTGGTTCTTGGATATGGCAGTTATCATTCAAGTTTATGTGAGATCCAGGCCAAGACTCTCTAAATCTTAGGAATAAAATATAATGTTAAACTGAAAACCAAAGTCACAGGCTAAATAATTTTGCCCTTTTAATTTTAAGAGCCCACTAACAAGAGTTCTCTTATTTTAGCCAAAAAAAAAAGTAATTACTTTCTTATTTTCATCTTCTATACCTGAGTACAGAAACTTGCCCATTTTTCAGAAGTGATGGGCTTCATGTATGAAGCCAGCTGTACCCGGTAGAGGGGTCAGAAGGGGTAAAAATAGAAGTGGAGAGAAGCATAAAAGCATAAGTAGGAAGTTCAAGCTTAAGCAATTGGAACATTTTTAAGGGCTTTAGAGTATAGGGAATATGGAAATGAAGCTCAGATTGCCCTGTCCTAAGTGGGCCAAGCAATGTGCCCCTGACTAGACACTGGTCAAAGCTACTTTGAAACTGGAGGAATTGTGAATGTTACATTTATGATTGTTGATCTGCTCTCTAACCACTCCTGGCTACGCTAAGCTGTCAAGGCCCAACTAAAGGTTTAGGTCAAAA